CGGGCCTGCTCACTAGGGCGCTGGCGGGCCTGCTGGCTAGGGCGCTGGCGGGCCTGCTGGCTAGGGCGCTGGCGGGCCTGCTGGCTAGGGCGTTTAGGGCAAACCGGGGGAGAGGGGGGGGGGGGGGGGGCACCAAGGCTAGAGACGAAGTTTAGGAAGGGCGGCGACTAGGTGTGGCCTAGGAACGGCGAACCTACTGCTGATACCATCTTACAAAGTGAAAAAACAGTGGAATGAATTGGATTGATTGTGTTGGGGTGCAAACGCCTAACCCTAACTGTTTGTACCCCATATAGCATGACCCACTAGAGGCTATAACATTTGATACTACTGGAGAAGTGGGTCATTTGGCCCGACCTTGAAATGTTACAAGTGTTCGAGCGTGAGTTCCGTAACGAGGCTGGCATTCCTGGAGTGGTGGGTGCCATGGACGGCACCTACATCCATTGTCAGGGTCAAGGCCCACATCGCGAGGATTTCAGGAACAGAAAGGGACTACTGCGCCGGCTACAGATGGGGTAGGATGAAGCTTGAGCGTCTCTTGTATAGTATTGTCAAATGTTGGTAGCCTGTAGTGAGATGTGTCTTTGGGGGTACGTATGTTAGGGTTTGCTACTTGTACCCCAACCACCATCAATGAAACAACACTTCCGATCTTGAGATGGTATCACCTAGGTTAGGATCCTGTAGGATCCCGTTCCTCCCGACCTCGTTCGTATCGCCCGAGCCTGTCTCCCTCTCTCGTATTACTTACGCACGTCTTGCCCGAGCCTAGCGCCGGCCCGCTCTCGTCCCGTTCCTTCGTTACCGCACGTTCCGCCGATCCCCTACTCGAGTAGCGTAGCGACCTTCCTCCCCCCTGCTGGCCCATCGCGTTTTCCCCCCTCCGAGGCCCGTCGAGTCGCGTTTTTTTTCCCCCCGCTGCCCGTCGAGTCGCGTTTTTCCCCCCGCTGCCCGTCGAGTCGCGTTTCCCCCCTTGCTGCCCGTCGAATCGCGCTCTCCCCGCCCATCGTCCCGTCGCCCGTCCCCCCCTTACGCGCGCCACCGCTGCGCATTCCCCCGTCGCCCGCCGCAGCCTGCGCCCGTCGCCGCGGCGCCCGCCGTCGCTGCCCGCCGCGGCGCCCGACGTCGCGCCCGCAGCCTGCGCCCGTCGCCGCGGCGCCCGCCTTCGCTGCTCGTCGCGTCGCGCGCGCGATTGCCCTTAGCCCCCGCGCGGCTCCCCCTTAACGCCCCCCCCCCGCGCCCGCGCGGCTGCCCTTAGCCCCCGCGCGGCTGCCCCCTAACTGCCGCTCCCCCTCTTCCTAACAGCCTCCCCCCCCTGGTCCAGCCCCGTCAGGTGTGTCCCAGGCTACCCCTCCTCCTTCGGTAGCCCCTCCGGTACAGCCTCCCTCCCCACAGTCCTCCTCGCAGCGTGCCGCAGGTGCTAGCTCTCGAGAGGTTGGTGCCGAGCCTGTTCCAGTACCGGTTTCTAGTTCTGGGGGTGCTGGAGTTGGAGCTGAGCCGGTGGGTGCAGAGGACTCTTGTCTTCCGGGAGCTGGTGCTGGTCGCGCGGACACTGGGGGTGCTCTGTCTGGGGGTGAGGGTGCGCCTCCTTCAGGTTCTGGTGAGCCTGGGTCTGGAGCTGGTGTTAGTGCTGCCTCTGGGGGTGGTGTGCCTGGTCCTTCGGGGGTGGACTCTGGAGCTGCCGCTGCTCCGGACACTACTCCGCCCCCCCACCCCTACCCGACTAGGCACCAGGCTCGTGTTCGCCGTGCCCGTGAGGAGCAGCTGGCGTTGGAGAGAGAGGAGAGGGAGTTACAGCAGCTGGAGGAGCAGCAGCAGCAGCAGCAGCAGCAGCAGCAGCTGGAGCCGCAGGAGCAGTAGTCCCAGCAGCAGCCGCAGCCGCAGCAGCAGCAGCAGCACCAGCAGCAGCAGCAGCAGCCACTTCCTCCTCCTGTCTCAGGTCTTCGGACCCTTGGTCTCCCCTCTCCTTCTCCTCCCTCCCCCGCCTCTCCTCCTGTCTACGGTCCCACGTTTCCTCCTCCTGACTCCTCCCCCGCTGTTTTCCCCAGTTCTCCGCCTTTGTCCTCTCCTCCTCCGTCTCGTACTTGGGCTACTCGTCGCTCTCCTCGTGCTCGTCCCTCGTCCCCTGTTCCTTTCACTGACCTTCGTACTGTCTTGTTACGTTCTAGTCCGTCTCGTTCGGCTCCTCCTGTGCTTCCTTCTCCTCCTGAGTCGGCCCTCACAGCTTCTCTCTCTACCCCTGTCACTGACTACTACCGCACGTACCGTCCTGTTCTCTCTCGTGTTCTCGCCTCTCTTGTTACCCACCCTCGTGCCTCTTTGTCCTCTGTCTCTGCTCTTACTGCCGCGGTCACTGAGTTTGCCTCTACTCGCCGCCTTGACTACGCCACCACTCTTGTGGCTGCTCCTCCTACCAGTCCTCTGGCCGTCGGGGGTGTGTCTGCCCTTGGCTGTGACGTCCTAGAGGACAGGCAGTTTGAGCTAGAGTTCCTGGCAGCCGCTTCCCCTCATCTCTGTGCCATGCTCCTCACCCCTGAGGGTGACCCTGACGCCCTTGACATTCCGACTCCTCGCACTTACGCTGAGGCAGTGTCAGGGCCTTGGGCCTCTCAGTGGAGAGCTGCCATGGACGCAGAGATGGCCTCCTACAGATCCACAGGCACCTACGTCGATGAGGTTCCTCCCCCTGGGACGAACGTAGTCGATGGCATGTGGATCTACAGGGTGAAGCGGCCACCAGGATCTCCTCCAGTCTTCAAGGCGCGCTACGTTGCTAGAGGTTTCAGTCAGCGCGAGGGAGTTGACTTCTTTCAAACCTTCGCGCCCACCCCGAAGATGACCACTCTTCGGGTGTTACTACACGTAGCAGCACAGAGAGACTACGAGTTACACTCTCTCGACTTCTCTACTGCTTTCCTTCAGGGCAGTCTTCACGAGGAGGTCTGGTTGCGTCGTCCCTCTGCCTTCACTGGCTCTTTCCCTCCTGGGACCCAGTGGAGGCTGAGGCGACCGGTTTACGGTCTTCGTCAGGCTCCTCGTGAGTGGCACGACACCCTGCGTTCTACCCTGTCTGACCTTGGGTTCCAGCCGTCTTCTGCCGACCCGTCGCTGTTCGTTCGTCGTGGCCCCACACCTTTCTTTGTTCTGGTCTACGTTGACGACCTTGTTTTCGCCACTGCTGACAGGGTTGCTTTGGCAGACGTGAAGTCCGAACTGTAGAAGAGACACACGTGCACTGACCTTGGTGAGCTGCGCCATTACCTTGGGCTGCAGATCACCAGGGACAGAGCTGCTCGCACCATTACACTCTCACAGTCACACATGGTGCAGCAGGTCCTTCAGCGGTTCGAGCTTCAGCACTCCACAGTACAGCGCACACCTCTTGCTGTTGACCACAGACTCACTGGCCCCTTTCCTGACGAGCCGTTTGAGCCTAGTGGTCCCTACGCAGAGCTTGTGGGTTGCCTCATGTACCTAATGACTTGTACTCGCCCGGACCTCGCTTTCCCTCTCAGCATCCTTACGCGTTTTGTTGCGCCAGGGAGACACCGTCCTGTTCACTGGACAGCAGCTGTGAGGGTGGCGAAGTACCTAGCGACGACATCAGGCGTGGGGCTAGTTCTTGGAGGGCAGCAGTCTGTTGTACTTACTGGTCACTGTGACTCTTCTTACGCTGACGACGCTGAGACTCACAGGTCTACTCAGGGGTACTGTTTCAGTCTGGGTTCTGGAGCTGTTTCCTGGCGGTCCACGCGCTCCTCTTCGGTCTCGACCTCTACAGCTGAGGCTGAGATCTACGCTGGTGCCATGGCGGCACAGGAGCTGCGTTGGTTGACGTTCTTGCTCGCCGACCTGGGTGAGCGGCCGAGCTCTGCACCGACCTTGTTCACTGACAACAAGGCATCCATTCTCCTTTGTCGAGAGCCGCGACTGGAGAGCAGAGTGAAGCACATTAACGTCAGGTACTTTCTTCTGCGAGAGTTGCAGAGGCGTGGACAGGCTCGCTTCGAGTTTGTGGAGTCTGAGGCCAACACTGCAGACATCTTCACCAAGGCGCTTCCGCCTTGTGACCACCACAGGTGTTGTACCCTTGAGTTCACTGCTTGCTTTGCTTGTACCCTTTCTATATATCTCTGTTATTGTTTGGACTGGCCTTGTGGCCATTGTTGCTTGTGCTCAGAGTTTGTGGTGACGTTGTGATCCACCCTGAGCTTTGTTTCTTTGTGACTGGTCTTGTGACCGTACTCTCTTGGTGTTGCTAGACACCCCTCACTTAGGCTATGGGGGTGTGTCAAATGTTGGTAGCCTGTAGTGAGATGTGTCTTTGGGGGTACGTATGTTAGGGTTTGCTACTTGTACCCCAACCACCATCAATGAAACAACACTTCCGATCTTGAGAAGTATGAGCGTAGCGACATTTTGGGGACTGATGTGGTGTGAACATTGTTGGCGCGAATTTCGCAGCCAAAGCGCCAACGCATGATCAAACGCAGAAGCGGTACGTCATCGTGCCACGACATCTTCCATGTGGTGGGCTTTGCTTGAATGTGTATGCTTCTGGTTTCGGTCGTGCATCTATTGGTGCACGAATGTTTTGCAAATGTCGCTCCTTCCTCGTATGTGCCTGAAACCACACAGGTTCGATTCAACGTGCAAAACCACGTTTGCTCATATTCTCGACTCTTGTTCACTTTGGGGGGTTCGAGTTTGGTGGGTAGGTGTTTGAACCCTGCATCGGCGAAAAAATTAACGAACATTCACGAAACTGGTTACCACCCAAAGTTCGATCCTATTTTTGAACTCCGATTAGATTCACACACGCCCTGATTGTGCTGTCACAAGCTTTCAGGTTCCCCTGCGCAACACGAATTTATCAGGAAGCAAATTCTTGCTTTCAAGCCGCCACTTCTCATCCTCCCTCCCCAAACGCGATGCAGTGTGTGTGATCCACCTATGCTCGCGCTCCCTGTGCAGCGCATTATCAGAGTTTCTCGGAATTAGTATGGGCGGTCACCCTCGATATTGCCGGGCGGGAAATAACGGCACGCCCAAACGGCTCCTCCTTCGTTGCACATCGCCGTTCCACACCCGACGCGCTCCGTCTTCTTCCACACCACCTGCGTGTAGTGCGTGCAATCCCTGCCCTCCGCGCACCCCGCGGGGAACGCTTCCAGGCGGTAGTGCGCCTTTTCGCGTACCCACTCCGCCACCGCCGATTCCGCTTCCGCGGGCACCCCCCAGCTTTCCGCCGCCCAGCGCAAGTTGACCCCGCCGCTGACTTCCTTCATGCGCCGCACCGCGCATCCTTCCTTTTGCGCAAGGTATTCCGCCAGTCGCTCCGCCTGCGCCTGAAGCTCCGCGTCCCACACGAGCGCGGGGGAGCCCACTTCCGCGCGCGCGCGGTTCTGCGGATCGAGGTAATGCGCGTGGTCGCGATCGTCGTTCCGGATTTCGGGAAACCTCGCATAGAGCATGCGAGCCGTCGCATGCGGCGACGAAGATCCGATGGACGATGTGACTGTAACAGGGCCTGCGTGGGAAGACTCGACCTGCGCCGCGTCCGAGAGGAGCCGCCTGTTGGAGGCAACCGACGCGACCGTGTCGGCTGGAAGGATCCCCGAAACTGCAGACTCCGTAGTGGCGACAGCCGTGGCCGTTGCGTAAAGAAGAGCAACAAGAAGAACGGTAACGGTGAGAAGCTGACGAAGGGAGAGGGCGAAGAAGACTATTAGAGGTACTTGCGAGGAGATCTTGACTTCAGCCATGGGGCTTGATATATAAGTCAAATTGAGAGGGGGAGGACGAAGAGGGCGGGAATGGTGGCGGCTTGTGGTTACCAAGGAGAAGTGGCGACGACGGAGTGGATGCTGACTACTTGAGAAACTCCCAAGCTGATGAATGTGGGTGGTATTGGGATGAGTGAACGTGATCCGTGACGCGGTAAGGGGAAGCTTGATGGAACTAAGGTTGCTGCCAGGTGCGTGGAGAGTGCGAGTTAGTGTGACGACGGAAATGAATGGCGGGAGGGCTGACTAAGAGCCTGTGAAGAGCTTGCGAAGACGAACTGTGCCGCGCCTGACCTTCCAGATACTAAGTAATTGTTCGCTACGGGATTTCCGATGCTTGGTGCACACATGAAGCAGTGTCCTCGCCTTGCACTGCTTGCAGTGTGCCATGCCAGAGAGGAGCAGCCGCTTGTGTGCTCCAGATGACGAGCAGGTGAGGCGGGATGGTGTGCGGTGCGAGGGAAGAGAGAATGGAACGCGTTCGGTGGATCCACGAACTGGGATTGGAGGCCAATTTCGAGATTGACGCGAACGGGTTGGGTGGGCTTGCTGGAGGGAGGAGTCAAGCCGCGCGAGAAAGGGAGCTGGTTGGTGAAGCAGAGCTCCAATAATTGCAGCTGGAACTCAGAATAATGTGGTAGAAGTGTACAGAACATATGCCGTTACTTATATCGCTCATACAAAGCTGGGATCATTTGTAGGCTCATCATATGAAATGTGTGGCTGTAGGTTCCAGAAAGAAACGGCATCTGCTGCCGTACCATCCCTTAACCAGGGGTACCATAATACTGATGCACATTAACTCAGTTTCTGTAAGCCGAGCCCCAGGCTCATATGCATTGCAGCATGGGGAATGACCACGACGTTAAACATACCATGAATAACCCAACTTCCAAACATACTCTCAGCTGCGCTCATTGCCCCCCTCCCCCATTACCCCCTTGCCCTGCACCCCCTCCGTTCGCCTCCCCCCCTGCCCCAAACACAAACCCCTCAGGGGGATTTCCCCCTGTGCCAGACCCCATTCCTGGAAAGGCGAATGGCAAGCCGCCAGCTGGCATGCCAGGGATGGGCAGGAAAGCGGGAGGGGCCAAGGAAGGCATGGCAGGGGCTAGAGGGGGCAAGCCTGCAAACGGAGCAGCAGCAGGATTGGCATCAGGGCCTAAGGGAAAGGGCGGCATGGGGAATGGGAAGTTGGGGAGTGGTGGGAAGGAGGAGGGGGAGGCGGTGGTGTTGGCAGGGAACTGGCCAGGAGCAGCTAGCGGAGTGATGTGGCCTGACGGTGCCCCTGGCTGCTGCTGCTGCTCCTGCTGCTGCTGTTGCTGCTGTTGTTGCTGCAGCTGTTGCTGTTGGTGCTGGTCGGAAGAATTAAGAGCAGCGTCGCCTCCGAAGAGGCGGGCTTCAAAGGCCTGCAGCTGGCTCAGCATGGCTGGTGGAGGGCGAGAAGAGGGAGGGGGAGGGGAAGGGATTGAGTCAGTTGAGAGAACTCTCAAAGGTGACTCGGAAACAGCCGGCATCACCTCTGAAGAGGCGGGGTCCAAAGGCCTGCAGCTGGCTCAGCATGGCTGGCAGGGCGAGACAAGGGAGAGGGTGGCAGTGGGCGGGAGAGGAAGAGAGGGAGGGAGTGCAGTCTATATTTTTAAACAAACACTAAAGGCTGGTGGAGGGTGAGACGAGGGAGAGGGCGTGGCGTTGGAAGGGATGGGATGGGAGGAACAAGAGTGTGAACTTGTTGAGTAATGGCATGGGGGAGGGAGGGGAACATGAGAGACCACACATGCTAAGTAAAACGGACAAAACCGCTTTCTGAGCCGACTTTAATGAGCGGACAGAACACACCTTCTACATATATCGCCTACCTGGTGTGTACTGTGACAGCACTACACTACACTACACTGATTTGTAGAAACGGAACGAGTCGGTCATCATGACATGAGATGCCACATGCCGGCATGCACTCCCTCATGTGACGTATGGGCTGTTATTCAACCCTGGATACGCAGAGCCTCACATGCTGCTCCTAAATGCCTACCCGAGGAGCCTCAACCATCACGAGCCATGGGCTGTTCATCCATCCCTGTGTGTGCACTGCAATGCCTCACATGCTGCTGCTACACGCCACTGTATGGGCATACGTGTGTTTTGAGTCGACTCAAAACATCCCTGTGTGCACTGCAATACCTCACATGCTGCTGCTACATGCCACTGTATGGGCATACCTGGCTGTATGTTGACGGACGGCCGTCTCTCCGTGACCCACGCCACTGCCTCGGCCAGTTTGACACCCTTGGCGCGCATCAAGTACCCCACCACCACTGCTGGCGACCTGCCGCAAGGGAAGGAGGGGAGGAAGAGGAAACGGCGGGGAAAGGAGTTACAAGGAGTGTTCTTCACAGCATTCATCATCTGACCCCAATTGGCGCGTGTGACGCCCCCGTCAGGCCCACATGAAATAAAAATGATATAGAACCCCGTCAGTCCCACATGAAATAAAAATGATATAGAACCCCGTCAGTCCCACATGAAATAAAAATGATATAGAACCCCGTCAGTCCCACATGAAATAAAAATGATATAGAACCCCGTCAGTCCCACATAAAATAAAAACGATATAGAACCCCGTCAGTCCCACATAAAATAAAAACGATATAGAACCCCGTCAGTCCCAAATGAAATAAAAACGATATAGAACCTTACTCCCTTTGTTCGTCTCAAGCAGCTTGACATTGGCACGGTCAGAAACTCTATTGAAGGCGATTCCCACTGCAAGCCTCATGGATTTAGTCATTAAGGCTTCAGGCACTCGCGGCTTCACCTGCTCTGGCCCGACATGCAGTGCACCAGCACCTTCGCCTGCTCCCGCTCACATTGCTCCATCCGCTGGCAGGGCAGTTCTCAGTAAGGGCAGTTCTAAGGATCCAATAAGGGTAAGGGCAAACGAGGTTTCACCTGCTTTGGCCCGACATGCAGTGCACCAGCACCTTCGCCTGCTTCCGCCCGCTCACATTGCTCTGTCCGTTCCGTTGGAATGGCAGTTGTCAGTACAGACCCTGATGGACCTAACTATTTAAGGCTAAGGGAACCCGGGGTTTCACCTGCTTTGGCCCGACATGCAGTGCACCAGCACCTTCGCCTGCTCCCGCTCACATTGCTCTGTTGCCCAGGTGGTTGGTGGGGTGGGAAGGAGAGGTTGAGGGTGAAGGGACGAAAAGAGGAGTTGAGGACGGAAGACTGAACAGAAGAGTGATGCCGTCAGGCAATGGAAGAGGAAGAGAGAGAACGGCAGTAAGGCGAGGGAGGGGCGCAGGGATGGCGAACGAGATTCAAGTTCTAACAGATAGAAGGGGGAGGAGAAGAGCATTCCTTATGGGCATGGCCTGAATGGTGAGGCGAAAATTCGAAGGAGAACGTGGCAGGTCATGAGGGTATGTTACGGCATGGCATGGCATGGCATGGCATGTCAATGCAGGGAATGACATGGCATGGCATGGCATGGATGGAGTGACATGGCATGGGATGACGTGGCATGGCATGTCAATGCACGGACTGACATGGCATGTGAAGACATGGCATGGGATGGCAGAGTACCAATAAATTGGTTGCATTCCTCAAAGGGAATGACCTTGCTGTCTTGCACTGTGTGATATACGAAAGAGTTCTTATAGAGGTTCTGACACGTGGGTACGGTCTGCAGGGAGTGGCAATATTAGCACACAGACACGGCACCAGGCAGGGAGGGGGAGAGGAGAGGAGAATGGGGGAGGGGGGAATGAGGGGGGTTGTGGTGGGAAAATGAGAAAGAGATTGAAGCAAACATTGACGAAAACCAATCTACACTCCATGATGGCAATTGCAGTGACAGTGCAAGGGACACTGTGTAACTCTATCTTCTCCGCACCTTCACCTTCCCTCCCCCCTCCACTTTCCCCATCCCCTACAATTAGAGAAAACGGCGTGACTTCGCAGAGCCAAACTCGCACCCCTGTACTTCTCGCGTATTCCCTTTTGCACACTCGAACCCCTGTGGTTTTGATTGCTCACGTTCAGGATCCGAGTGATCCCTTGCGCCTATAAACACCTCCGATCGAATTTCGAGGCGCGGATCGAACTCAAAAGTCCTCTGTGGCTCTCCGATCACTCACGTTTAGGATCCGAGTGATCCCTTGCGCCTCTAAACACCTCCGAACGAATTTCGAGGCGCAGATCGAACTCAAAAGTCCTCTGTGGCTCTCCGATCACTCACGTTTAGGATCCGAGTGATCCCTTGCGCCTCTAAACACCTCCGAACGAATTTCGAGGCGCAGATCGAACTCAAAAGTCCTCTGTGGCTCTCCGATCACTCACGTTTAGAATCCGAGTGATCCCTTGGGCTTTAAGTAGCTCCGATCGCGACGCGTTGTCGTAGCTCCCGCAGAACAGGAACCCCGGGATGATCTCCGACGAGAACGCGCTGTGCGCCTGCGCCGCGGCGCCGCTGCTGCGCTCGTCCGCGGGGACTAATCGGTGGCCGCACACCCCGCACGGCTCCCCCTCCTCGTACTTATGGTAGTGCCCGCAGATGTAACACGGGTTCTCGCGCTCCCGCTTCCGCATCGTCGTTTCGCCGGTGCTGGTAACCCGGAGTGGTTACTCCGACCCTGTGCTGGTAACCCGGAGTGGTTACTATGACCCTGTGCTGTGACAGGATTCTGTTCGCGAAGGGTCTGAAACGAGCAGCGCATGTAAGGATCGGCGAATGCAGTCAACCTTGTTTCCGCTCTCGTCTGAATCTCCCAGGGGACGAGGCTAGCAAAAATTGCACGCGAAGTAACCAGGCAGAAGCAGCCGATAGCGACGGAGCTTGTCTTATCGCAAAAGCACGGATCGCATTGTGTGCGATTTCTAAAAGCCTTACGGAGCTGCCAAGGTGATCGTACGTCGTGCAGAAGCGACGGCACACGTGTCGCAGAACCTACCGAAATTGGCGATGCTAACGGGTCGATGCCGGCCCACAAAAAAGACTAAAGCAGGGTTCACTTCAATTCAGGGCTATGTTGGAACAGAAGTGAACAAAACAAATCTGACTGGTTAGGGTCGCATTGGAACAGTAGAATCGCGCTAGGTTATATTCTTCACACCTGGAATTCGACGTCGTGTCGTCCTACACACTACTAAGAGGGCGACGTAAGGTAGGACTCTAACCCGCAGTTCTAGCCATAGTAGTCTGCTCTAGTTGGTCACAAGTTCCGCGCGGTTCGAAAGCTAACCCTCCCACAAACGGGGCACGAGATTTCTTCCTGCGACTTATAGCGATTCCAATATTGTCGCACGGTTTCGCGAATAACAGTTACTTAGTGTCAAACTACTACACCTTGTGTACGTTTCTGGCTTAAGTGAACTCTCAGTGAAATTATTATACTTCAACACTAGTCCATGTTATCTATTGTAGATAAGGAATCAACTCCTACACATAGAACCCAACCCACTACACTTTCCAGATCCCAAGAGAACATTGGTAGAGTTTGTGCAACTTCCAAAGAGGCTGACAAATCACAAGACTACTGAATCTGCCTTGCTACAATCAAACGAGGTCTGAATCCTTATTTTCTGCAAGACTTCAAAGTCCTACTGGTTGGGAAGCATAGAACAGCAGAGAGCGACGAGAGCGGACAGAGAGGACATGCCGTGTCGTGCGTGCCACATGCCGAATCTTCGCTTTGATAAAACCAGTCAGCACCTTACTGGATCGGAAGCGCACACATCAGCTAGACCGGGAGCTGTTGAGCGAGAAACCACGCGTGAGCGCCCAGGGAGCAGAGGGAGACGAGGTTGGAGAGAGGACATGCCATGCCACATGCCGAACCAACGGTTTGCTAACATCTGCTTCTTAGTGCATGGGAAGGAGATAGTTGCTAGACGGGAAGCTGCTGAGCCAGGAACCATGCGTGGGCACCCAAGGAGCAGAGCGCGACGAGATTGGACAGCGACGACATGCCGTGCCACATGCCAAATCGGCGGTTGACAGCTGCCAGCTCTTTATTGGTCTGCGCGACCTCCCTGTTGCGCGACAGCCCCACCTCATCCCCGATGCCTGCCTCCTTCTCTATGCGGTGCCGCTCCCGCATGATCTGTATGGCAATAGGTGAAGATAAGGCGGAAGTGAGGGCAAGTAAGGAACAAACTGGACAAGCTTTGCAATCATCCACCTCGTCCCCGATGCCCGCCTCCTTCTCTATGCGGTGCCGCTCCCGCATGATCTGTTGAAGAAGATGACGGGTGAAGGCAAGGGCGGAAGTGAGGGTGATAAACAAACAAACTGCTCAAACTAGGTTGCCCTCCACCTCGTCCCCAATGCCTCTATGTGGTGCCTCTCCTGCAGGAATCATCTACCATTAATATATTTAAACTACCTGTTTCCGACTTCTGAAAATTCTCCTGAGTGCCACAAGCACTACCTCTCCACCGCCTCACCTTTGTGGTGATGGGCTCAAACAACAGCAGATTCAGCAGCGCAGCCCCAAGGGCAGCAAGCAGCAACAGACTGCAAGCGGCAGCAGTTCGAACCAAAGTATGCCACCGCGACTGTACAAACCACCTCTATATCCACTCACCTTGGTGGTGATGGGCTCAAACAACAGCAGATTCAGCAGCGCAGGCCCAAGGGCAGCTAGCAGCAACAGATTGCAAGCGGCAGCAGTTCGAACCAAAGTATGCCACCGCGACTGTACAAACCACCTCTACATCCACTCACCTTGGTGGTGATGGGCTCAAACAACAGCAGATTCAGCAGCGCAGGCCCAAGGGCAGCTAGCAGCAGCAGCAGCTGCACCTGCTGCAAGCCCTCTGCCCCTGCAGCAGCAGCAGCAGCAGCAGCAGCAGCAGGGTTGATTGTGAGCTTGAGAGCGAGGGCAGAGAAGGCGGAGCAGAGGGCAACCAGGCGGAAGTAGGCCGGGAAGAGACGACCCTGGATGCTGCCGAAGGTGTGGCGGGGGAGGTGGCTGTGTGGGCGAGGGGGGGCGAAGGAGGGAAGCGGGGGGGAGTAAGGGAGGGAGGGCGCGGGGTGAAAGAGAGAGCGACGAGGCGGAAGTAGGCCGGGAAGAGACGGCCCTGGATGCTGCCGAAGGTGTGGCGGGGGAGGTGGCTGCGTGGCAGAGGGGGAGGGAGGAAAACGGTGGTTGGGATGAGGGCAGTGAATTGTTTTTGAGAATTCTCAAAAACAATCTGCAGCAAAACGGTGGTTGGGATGAGGGCAGTGAACGAGAGGTGAGGGAAGTGGCGGCCCTAAATGCTGCTCAACGCTCTGCGCCCACCTCACCGGAACATGATGACGCCAGAAAACAAGGTCTGTTTCTGAGTCGACTCAAAAACAGACGCCATAAAAGAAGGTGATCCACACGGACGGCCCCAGCAGTGACCATGTGTCTGTGTGACCTACTTGCAGGGAAGTTACCAGTCTCGCACATTGCCTCTGAATCCTACCAATCAACTCCCTCGCAGTGTGTCACTCCTCTTATCTCCCATTTCTCATTTCTCATTCCTCTGCCACCATCTCACCGAAACATGATGACTCCAGCAAATAAGGTGAACCCCCCAAGTGACCATGTGTCTGTGCGACCTACCTCTCAGTTTCCTCGCAGCTACTCTCACGTGCTTGCCCTCCCGTCCCCCCCCTCTCATCGTTCATCTCACCTACCCCATCACACTGGAACACGATGACACCAGCAAAGAAGGTGACCCAAACTGACGCCCCCAGCAGCAGTGACCATGTATCCGTGCGACCCACCCACCTCTCAGTTCCCTCGCAGCTAATCTCACATATCACTCCTCCAATCTCCCGTCTCCCATCTCTAATCTCTCATTCCTCTTCTTACCGGAACATGATGACGCCAGCAAAGAGGGTGACCCACACCGACGCCCCAAGAAGTGATCATGTATGAGTGCGACCAGCGTGCCATCTCTCTCGCATCTACGCTCACACATCCCTCCTCTCGGCTCCTCTAATCCCCCCATCTCCCATCTCCCAGCTCCCATCTCTCATCTCCCATCCCTCATCTCCCATCGCACCGGAACATGATGACACCAGCAAAGAAGGTGACCCACACGGACGCCCCCAGCGCTATGGAACAGCACAGCACGTGCACGAACCGCAGGGCAGCCCCTGCTTTGGGCGACAGGAAGGGGGCACCCGTGGGGCTGGCACGGCCGTATGGAAGCTGGAGGGGAGAACACGAGAAGGGAAAGAAGAGTTGAGGGAGAAGAAAGCATCAGAGCTGCGGAGCAGCACAGCCCGTGGGCGAAGCACAGAGGACGTTTTTGAGTCGACTCAAGAACAGGAGAAGAGAGCATCAGACCCACGGAACAGCACAGCCCGTGGGCGAAGCACAGAGGACGAGGGAGCTTACAGCTGTGAGCCTGTGGGACGGTATGGCAGCTGGATGGGGGGAGAAGAAGGAGGGATGGAGGGAGGAAGGAAGGGAGCATCAGTGCTACGGAGCCGCACAGCACGTGGGCGAAGCGCAGCGCTGCCCCTGGCATGGGGCGTGGGGGCGATCTTTGAGCGGCGGACTCTGAAAACGATAAGGGAGCCGCGAGAGAGACGCGTACCATGGCGTCGGGAGTGAGAACGGCCGCCGCAGCGACGGCGACGATGAGCACGATGAGTGACGTGTACCAACCCATGGCGACGCGTGCGACGCGTGCGACGGGTGTCGCTTGACTTTACTCGAAGACCAGACGAAGACGACGACGAGGCGAGTAGCCCTCCTGGCGCTCAAGAAACCAACGGATGATAGATCCGGAGGCGGCAATCACACCAAGTGTCGCGAAGTTACTAAATCAAGCGAGAAGCGAAAGGACGTAGAGCAAGAAAGGGGCAGGGACAAGGAGAAAAAGCAAGGGAGAAAAACTGAAGAAGCAAGACTCGAAACTTTGACAATGTTCCGGAATGTTCCGCATCCATTAGTTCGATGACATTGGGTGTGATGAGGTGGTGTCTGTTTCAGAACAATAATAAAGCGTTCTAAAGCGGTGTAAGAGGGTTCTAGGGCGAAACTAGGCATTTGAGGTGCGAGAGTTGCGAGATTCGGCCTCTCGGAACAACCGCCGTACACATGACGACAGCAGTGACGGGTTCGCGACGACACGAACTGTAATCGCACGTTACATTTGCTCAATGTATTCGCTTGGGCGTGGCTGGTGTTGCATTTCGCATACGACTTATGTAGTGTAAAATTACACTCAATAAGTCAGCTCGGCATATCTTTCAAACGAGGATGTTCATGACTGGTCGAGGTCCAAGCCACGACTCCTCTGCCTCGGTTCCACGTCAGCATTGAGAGTCGCGTCCAATCTGACACGTCGCAGACCGCGATTAAAGCCACTACAGTAACAAGCCAGGCCAGTCAACCTCCAGGCCAGGCCTGTTAGCAGCAGAGTGATCTGCCAGAAGCTGTTGAGACTTGTGATTGGCGAATTGCCCAAGGCGGAGTGAGTAGGACGCTACGAATTCAAGAGCCCATCGCATTTCATAATCGCATTGATCTCTCGGTCGTATCCATCGCGTCGCGCTCGACGGTCGATGCGCGTATCGTCGCCGTTCCTCAGGGCTCTTGCGTCGCCGCATAGCCCGTTCGCCTCCGCAATCATCGCTTCCGCGCCTGCTCTCCGCCCCCCCGCGCCCTTTTTCCGCCCGTCCGCGCCCTTTCTCCGCCCCTCCGCCGCGCCCGCCGTTTCCGCCTTCCACGGCATTCCGCCAGCTCGCGCCGCGGCGAGTCTTGCAATAGCCGCCGCAACACCCGCCACAATGATTAGTTTGTCTTCACGAGCCGCTCTCTCCCCCTCTTTCAATCGCTCCTTATTCCCTTCCATCCACCATCGCGAAAGTTCCTCGAAGCCTCCTGCAGCAGCCTCGCGGCTATCATCACCCTTCACCCCACCGCTCCGCACCCCTCACTACCTCTCTAGCTCTACCCACTACCGTCCTATCGCGCTCTCCTCGCGGCTCGGCGGGATCTGGTCCACTGCCCGCCTAGTACCGAGACGAGCGAGGGCAGCGCGATGCGGCGCGGCGGGCGGGGAGGAGCAAGGCGGCGCGCGCGAGCGGTTCGTGGTGACGACGCCGCTGTACTATGTGAACGCGGCGCCGCACATGGGATCCGCTTACCCCACTATAGCCGCTGACGCACTAGCGCGGTTCCAGGTGCGATGAGGGCGATAGGTGACGGTTCGTGGTACGGTGGGAGCGATGCGATGCGGTGGAAGGGGAGAGAGTGGCGCGTCGACGGTGCCAGGTAAGGGGGGGGGGGGGGGGGAGAAGGAGGAGGTGGAGGATGGATGGTACGGGAAGGAGGAGAGGCTAGGCCTTTAAAGTGCGCCTACCTCATCAGAGAGTTTTCACCAATTTCCCCTCCTCCCCATCCCCCGCTGCAACGCCTCTAGGGCAGGGAGGGGATTTTTGTGACAGGCAAGAAGAGAAGATTGCACTGGCACGGGCTCATGCAAACTTTGGGTGGGTCATTCTCCCTCCTTTCCATCCCCTTCTCACTGCAGCACCACCAGAAATGCAGGGACGTGACATTCGCAACGGGCACAGACTTGCACGGGGAGGAGATTGCTCTGAGCCTCTGGCACTGCACACCTTGACCCATTCTCCTTCCCTCCCCCCCCACCCCAACACCCCCTTCCCACTGCAGCGGCTGCAAGGCAAGGAGGTGACGTTCGTGACGGGCACGGACGAGCATGGGGAGAAGATCGCCCTGGCGGCGGCTAAGAATGGGCGCACGCCGCAAGAGCACTGCGATGCTGTGGCTGCGGAGTACAAACAGCTGTGGAGCAAGGTGGGGTGCGGTGGGGGGCGATGGGGTGCATGAGGGTTGGATAGTCCTGGCGGTGAGTCCATAGAGTGTGCTTGGTAGACACGCTGCAGCAGCACTGCGATGCTGTTGCTGAGGAGTACAATCAGCTGTGGAGCAAGGTGGGGTGCGGTGGGGTGCGGTGAGGGGAGGTGGGGTGCTTGAGGGTTGGAATCTGGGTAGTTCCGGTGAGCCCATTGAGTGTGCTTGGTAGACACGCTGCAGTAGCACTGCGATGCCGTGGCTGCGAAGTACAAGCAGCTGTGGAGCAAGGTGGGAAGTGGTGGGGTGGTTGGGGGGTGGGTGCTTGGGCCTTGATTTGATAGACTCCCAGCAGCACTGCTGTGCTGATGCTGGAGTACAGGCGGCTGTGGGGCAAGGTGGGAAGAGGTGGGGAGAGGTGGGGAGAGGTGAGGGGAGGTGGGTGGTCGGAGGTGTGCATGGGGGCCGGCGAGGCGCGGCAGCAGCACTGCAATGCTGTGGAGCAAGGTGGGGTGCGGTGGGGTGGTTGGGGATTTCTCCCCACCCACTGTCCCCCCCAGCATCTCGTATGCTCATTTAATCCACACCACCCCAATCACCCCTGCCACGAACCACTGGTGCGGCAGTTCTGTCAGCCATAAAGAGGAAATCTCATTCCCTCCCACCCATGCACGCACCTCATTGACTTCCTTCTACCTTCTCCCTCCTCCCGTCTCCCCTCCCCCACCTTCCCAGCTTAACATTGCCTATGATGGCTTTATCCGCACCACCTCGCCCCACCATGAGGCAGCAGTGCGGCAGTTTATGCAGCCAGAGGGGTGGTAGCTTCATTTCCCTGTATTTGGCATGCTCTCCATCTCGTTGCCTCTTCCCCTTCTACCCCTCTCGACCCCTCTCCACCCCTCTCCCAGCTGGACATCGCTTACGATCGGTTCATCCGCACCACCTCGCCCCGCCACGAAGCTGTGGTGCGGCAGTTTTATGATCGAGTCAAGGCACGGGGGGATGTGTACCGCGCGCAGTATGAAGGGCGCTACTGCATTGCGTGTGAAGAGTATAAGGTGAGAGAGATGCTTATAGCGAGTACAAGATAGGGCAGTTCTATGAGCGTGTTAACTCGCAGGGCGATTTGTATTGCATGCAGTATAAGGGGCGGTACTGCGCTGCTCGTGAAGAGTACAAGGTGAGACAACTTAAAAAAGGCCCTAAACTAAAAGGTGTATTTTGAGGCGCCTCAAAGTACACTTCATTGCTTACTAAAAGGCACGGCGCTCCACCTCGCCCCGCCACGAGGAAGTGGTGTAGCAGTTCTATGAGTCGTTTTTTGAGTCGACTCAAAACAGTTCTATGAGTCGTTTTTTGAGTCGACTCAAAACAGTTCTATGAGTCGTTTTTTGAGTCGACTCAAAACAGTTCTATGAGTCGTTTTTTGAGTCGACTCAAAACAGTTCTATGAGTCGTTTTTTGAGTCGACTCAAAACAGTTCTATGAGTCGTTTTTTGAGTCGACTCAAAACAGTTCTATGAGTCGTTTTTTGAGTCGACTCAAAACAGTTCTATGAGTCGTTTTTTGAGTCGACTCAAAACAGTTCTATGAGTCGTTTTTTGATTCGACTCAAAACAGTTCTATGAGTCGTTTTTTGATTCGACTCAAAACAGTTCTATGAGCCGTTTTTTTATTCGACTCAAAACAGTTCTATGAGCGCGTGAACGCGCGGGGCGATGTGTATTGCATGCACGCAGTACGAGGGGCGCTAACACATTGCGTGTGAAGAGTACAACACGAGACAGATTCATTGCTTGCTAGGTGGCATCATGGTACTTTCTTGAGCCGTCTCAAAAAATCATCTAACACCCTGCGAAAACCGCAGAGACGACATCCTCTTTTTCGCCTCCGTCGTGCCCCCTCTCTCCTCCCTCCTCCGCTTCCAATTCCCCTTCCTAACGCCCCACGTGGCACGTGGTAATGGACGAGAAGGAGCTGGTGGATGGTACTATAGAATAGAACTGCTGAGCACCTGACCTGCCTTTTGAGGCGCCTCAAAAGTGGTACCATAGAACTGCTGAGCACCTGACCTGCGCAAGAAGGTGCCGCACGCACCTCACTCCCTGTGAGCACCTCACTCCCTGTGAGCACCTCACTCCCTGTGAGCACCTCACTCCCTGTGAGCACCTCACTCCCTGTGAGCACCTCACTCCCTGTGAGCACCGCAGCTGGGACAACCTCTTCTTCCTTCGCGACCTCTCCCCTTTTCTCCCTTGTCTGCTTCCCCATGCTGCCAACACCCCTCCGTGGCAGGACGAGAAGGAGCTGGTGGATGGTACCACGTGCCCCACGCACCTGACGCCTTGTGAGCACCGCAGCAAGGACAACCTAATTCTTTGCTCTCCCTTCCTATCCTTGCTCCCAACACTTGGGCCTGGCAGGACGCGAAGGAGTTGGTAGATGGCACCACGTGCCCCACGCACCTCACTTCCTGCGAGCACCGCAGCGAGGACAACCTCTTCTCTTCCCTCCTCTTCCGCCCTTCTCTGCTTTCACATGCTTCTCTGGCAGGACGAGAAGGAGCTAGTGGATGGTACCCTTGTTAGCACCCCACCTCCCCTCACACCCTTGTTAGCACTGCAGCGAGGACAACCTCTTCTTTTCCCTCCTCTGCTACCACATGCCTTGTAAAACCCCTCCTCCTCACCAGGACGAGAAGGAGTTGGTGGATGGTACCACGTGTCCCACGCACTTAACACCCTGCGAGCATCGCAGCGAGGACAACCTCTTCTTTGCGCTCTCCTCGCACCAGCACGACCTGGAGAAGATTTTCCAAGACAGACCCGATTTCGTGCAGCCAAGCTTCAGAAAGAACGAGGTGAGTGAGGCGATTGAGGAAGTAAAGGGGTGAGGAGGCGGGTAGTTGACCCGGTGAAGTAGCAACCTCTTCTTTGCTCTCTCCTCACTCCAACACACGCTGGAGCAGCTGCTTCAGGACCGGCCCGACTTCGTGCAGCCGAGCTTCAGAAAGAATGAGGTGAGGGAGAGGGGAGAGAGGGAGGGAGGATGTGGGTTTTGAGTAGGCCCAGAGGACAGCCTCTTCTAAGCGCTCTCCTCTCACCAACACGACCTGGAGAAGCTTTTCAGCCTCCAGGACTGTCCTGCCTTCGTGCAGCCCAGCTTCAGAAAGAACGAGGTGAGAGAGGAGCTTGGGGGAGGAAAAGGAAGAGGGGGAAATGGGGAACTGGGCGGCAAACAAGCGGCCTCTTCTTCGCGCTCTCCTCTCGCTCTCCTCGCGCTCTCTTCGTGCTCGCAACATGTCTTGGAGCAGCTCTTTCAAGACAGACTCGAGTTTGTGCAGCCCAGTTTTAGAAAGAATGAGGCGTGAGTGGAGGGGACAGAGGGGGGGAGGAGGTGACTTTTGAGTCGGGCCAGAGGACAACCTCTTCTTTGCTCTCTCCTCGCACCAACATGCCCTGGAGCAGCTGTTTCAGGATAGGCCGAGATTCGTGCAGCCATTCGTTTTTGAGAATTCTCGAAAGCCATGTGTGCAGCCAAGTATGAGAGAACGAGGTGAGTGTGACTTGTGAGTTGACCCGGTCAGAAGGGGGAAGATGATTGTTGGCCCACCCGGTGAACAGGCAGCCTCCTCCTCACTTGCTTGTGTTCAAGCATCTCCTTGGATTTCCTCTCTACATTGGCCCACCAATGGATCCACACGTAGGAGGCATGACTTGGCGTGGCAGCAGCTTGTTTAGCTGGATAGTCTTGTTGTAGTAGTAGGCTTGCTTAAAACCCTTTGTGTAGAAAAATTGGTGGTAACTAGTTTCGGCTCTGAGCCTCCCCCTCACTTGCTTGTGTTCAAGCATCTACTTGGATCTTCTCTCCCTCTCGGCCAATCAGGTGCTGGCGTGGGTGGCGGAGGGAGCGAGGGATTTCAGCATCAGCCGGGCGGCAGTAGCATGGGGTATCCCTGTTCCAGATGTGCCAGAGCAGACTATCTACGTGTGGTTCGACGCTCTTCTGGGGTGAGTGCGGCTCTGCCTGTTCGCATCTGCCGCTCTGTTAATACTCCTCTGCTTCAGCATCAGCCGGGAGGCAGTGGCATGGGGCATTCCTGTTCCAGATTTGCCAGAGCAAACCATCTACGTGTGGTTCGACGCTCTTCTATGGTCAGTGCGGCTCTGCAACCCTGCTTCGATCGACCATGCAGTGGGTCTTTCCCGCGCCGGATGTCCCAGAACAGTCTAAATACGTCTGATTGAACCACAGTAGTTTGATGCTCTGCTGACTGCGATTTGAGACTCTTTTAGAGTGAGTCTGCTTGCTACCATAAGCGTGGGGCATGCAAGTGCCGGATGTTCCAAGCCTGGACACGGCAGTCAGTGCAGCACTCTCGCATGCCATGCATCGTCGAAACCCCATACCCCCCCCCCCCCCCCCCCCCCCCCCCCCCCCTCACCCTGTCTTTTTACTCCACCCACCTTTCGCAGGTACATCTCAACGCTGTTAGAGGAGAGTGACGAGCCAAGCCTAGACACGGCAGTGCAGCATTCTCACTCCATGCATCATCCATCCCCCAACCCAACCCCCTCTTGCACTCTCCTTATCCATGCTACCACGGCGCAGGTACATCTCAGCGCTGTTGGAGGAGGGCGACGAGCCAAGCCTGGACACGGCAGTCTCAAGGGGATGGCCTGCGTCTGTTCACATCATTGGCAAGGTAGGTTTTGGTGCGGTTGATAGTGGTGAAGAGTGGTGTTAATGCACAGTGCAGGAGGGTGACGACCCAAGCCTCGGCACGGCAGTCTCCAGGGGGTGGCCCGGCCGCCTCTGTGAACATCATTGACAAGGTGGAGTGTCGGGTGCGGTTGTGAGTGGTGAAGAGGGGTGTAAATACACATGACAAGAGGGCGATGAGCCAAGCCTAGACACGGCAGTCTCGAGGGGATAGCCAGCATCCATGCACATCATTGGCAAGGTGGGGTATGGGGTGTGGAGCTTTGTGTTAATGCACATCATCGAATGCACGTCATGCACGTCATCGGCGGTCTATTGAGCCGTCGTGCTCGCTCATGAGTCATGTCTGCCGGCCCATGAACGGCCCTGTTTCACTTCCCCACTTGCCACCCCCCCTGCCTCTCTTCTCCCTCTCCCCCTCACTCCCACTCCCTCCCCCTCTTTCCTTCCCTTGACCCCTCCCCTTACAGGACATTCTGCGATTCCACGCGGTCTACTGGCCAGCCATGCTCATGTCTGCCGGCCTGCCAACCCCCACCACTGTCTTTGGCCACGGGTTCCTCACCAAGGTACCCACTTTGTGTTAAGGCACTTCAAAGATCGCCTCAAAGCTCGTCTCGTTTCCCCGGCCTGCCAACCCCCACCACGGTCTTTGGCCATGGCTTTCTCACCAAGGCAAGTTCTATGAGACCTAACCGGACGGCCTCGACCTTACTCAATGGGTCTAGGCTCTAGACACATTTGGGTCGCCGTCTTTGGCCACAGCAAGTCCTTGAAGAGTTTGCTTTTGAGAATTCTCAAAAGTAAACTCTCTCGAAGACCTCACCAAAAGGCAAGTGTTGATTCAGACCAAAAAAAAAAAAAAATCACTCAACCGACCGTAGTCAAGCTCCACCCTTCATCGTCTGTCCGCTTTGTCCCCTTTCCTCATTTTCCCCTCGTTCCCTTCCCTAAACCAGCCCTAATTCCTTCGAGGAGCCGCCTTGTTTCCTTCGTACTCACTGAACCGCCTTGTTTCCTGTTCGCAGCTATCGCGATAATGGTCAACGCCATGACGGGTTTGAGAGTTCTCAAAACTCTCTCCCCCCTTCCTCTTGTTCTCTCTCATCTCATCTCATGCATCTCATCTCACGCATCTCATCTCACGCATCTCATCTCACGCATCTCATCTCACGCATCTCATCTCACGCGTCTCATCTCACGCATCATCACAGGACTTTTGAGAATTCTCAAAAGTCGCACCAATATAGCTCAAGATGGGCAAGGTAAGTCCCTTGGCAACACCGCCGACCCCCGTCGTCCTCACTCTCTTTCCCCGTCCCCGTTCTCTCCAATTTCACGCATCACCACCACAGGACGGGCACAAGACACGCAGGTCTTTGGGCAACACGGATAGACCCTGATGAACCTTCGGAGCCCCTCACGCATAACCTCCACAGGACAGATAGACCCTGATGAACTGGTGACAACCTTCGGAGCCCCTCACGCATAACCTCCACAGGACAGATAGACCCTGATGAACTGGTGACAACCTTCGGAGCCAATGACATGCAATACTTCTTCCTGTCCTTCCCTCACTCGTCCGGTCTCCCGGCCCCCTTCATTCTCTCTCATCCTTTACGTCACCACCACAGGACGGGCACAAGATGGGCAAGTCTCTTGGCATCACCATCGACCCTGACGAGTTGGTAACCACCTTTGGAGCGGACGCGGTGCGATACTTCTTCCTGCCCTCCACCCACCTCTCTCATCCTGTGCTCCACCACCACAGGACGGGCATAAGATGGGCAAGTCCCTAGGGAATACCATTGACCCAGACGAGCTGGTAACCACCTTCGGAGCGGACGCGGTGCGATACTTCTTCCTGCGGGAGATCGAATTCGGCAGCGATGGGGACTTCTCTAAAGAGCGATTCGTTAACATCGTCAATGCCAACCTTGCAAACACCATTGGTGAGTGAGAGGGAGGTGGGGGAGATGGGGGGGTCTTGGGATTGAATTCGATTTTTGAGAATTCTCAAAAATTGAGAGGGAGATGGGGGGGTCTTGGGATTGAATTCGATTTCTGAGAAGTCTCAAAAAGTGAGAGGGAGATGGGGGAGATGGGGGGGTCTTGGGATTGAATTCGATTTCTGAGAAGTCTCAAAAAGTGAGAGGGAGGTGGGGGAGATGGGGGGGTCTTGGGATTGAATTTGGCAGCGATAGGAACTTTAAAAGCGATTTCTTAGCGTCGTCAACCTTGGGAATACCATCGATGGGTGGGTGGTGGGGGAGAGGGTTGGAGGGAAAGGAGGGAGGAAGAGGGGAGGAGGGGGGACGAGGAAGGGATGGGGCTATCTGTGAAAGGAGGGAAGGAGGGGAGCAGGAGAGGGGAAGGGAAAACCTAAATCCTTTCTCTTTTACTCTATCCCCCACTCTCTCACTCACTCAAAACGCAACCCTCTCGCCACCCACAGGCAATCTGGTGAATCGCACGCTGGGCCTTCTCAAGAAGAACTGCAACAGCACGCTCAGCATCGACTCGGCTGCTTTGCCCCTCGACCACCCTCTCCGCACCACCACTGCTACTTCTGTCAGTACCCTCCCTTGCTCCCACGCCCTTTCTCGCTACCTCCGTCACACTCCCAATGCCCTTTCTCGCTACGCTTCTTTGGAATTCAGCGGGGCTGTGAGGCGATTCTCAAAAGTCACCTGGAATTCAGCGGGGCTGTGAGGCGATTCTCAAAAGTCACCTGGAATTCAGCGGGGCTGTGAGGCGATTCTCAAAAGTCACCTGGAATTCAGCGGGGCTGTGAGGCGATTCTCAAAAGTCACCTGGAATTCAGCGGGGCTGTGAGGCGATTCTCAAAAGTCACCTGGAATTCAGCGGGGCTGTGAGGCGATTCTCAAAAGTCACCTGGAATTCAGCGGGGCTGTGAGGCGATTCTCAAAAGTCACCTGGAATTCAGCGGGGCTGTGAGGCGATTCTCAAAAGTCACCTGGAATTCAGCGGGGCTGTGAGGCGATTCTCAAAAGTCACCTGGAATTCAGCGGGGCTGTGAGGCGATTCTCAAAAGTCACCTGGAATTCAGCGGGGCTGTGAGGCGATTCTCAAAAGTCACCTGGAATTCAGCGGGGCTGTGAGGCGATTCTCAAAAGTCACCTGGAATTCAGCGGGGCTGTGAGGCGATTCTCAAAAGTCACCTGGAATTCAGCGGGGCTGTGAGGCGATTCTCAAAAGTCACCTGGAATTCAGCGGGGCTGTGAGGCGATTCTCAAAAGTCACCTGGAATTCAGCGGGGCTGTGAGGCGATTCTCAAAAGTCACCTGGAATTCAGCGGGGCTGTGAGGCGATTCTCAAAAGTCACCTGGAATTCAGCGGGGCTGTGAGGCGATTCTCAAAAGTCACCTGGAATTCAGCGGGGCTGTGAGGCGATTCTCAAAAGTCACCTGGAATTCAGCGGGGCTGTGAGGCGATTCTCAAAAGTCACCTGGAATTCAGCGGGGCTGTGAGGCGATTCTCAAAAGTCACCTGGAATTCAGCGGGGCTGTGAGGCGATTCTCAAAAGTCACCTGGAATTCAGCGGGGCTGTGAGGCGATTCTCAAAAGTCACCTGGAATTCAGCGGGGCTGTGAGGCGATTCTCAAAAGTCACCTGGAATTCAGCGGGGCTGTGAGGCGATTCTCAAAAGTCACCTGGAATTCAGCGGGGCTGTGAGGCGATTCTCAAAAGTCACCTGGAATTCAGCGGGGCTGTGAGGCGATTCTGGCTCCAGCAGCATTGAAAACCCCACTGAACCGCTAACCCCCTCGTCACATTCTTTGCCCCAACCCCACAGATGGCGACGGCAGCAGCATGCCATGCTGCTCTGGACTTCAGCAGGGCATGTGAGCCGATTTTGGCTGCGGCAGCAACTAAAACCTCACAGAACCGCTAACCCCCTCATCACACTCCTTGCCCCAAACCCCCTTATCTCCCCCCACAGATGGAAACAGCAGCAGCATGCTATGTTGCTCTGGACTTCAGCGGAGCATGTGAGGCGATTCTGGCGCCTGCAGCAGCGGGGAACGGGTTTCTGGAGGAGAGAGCACCGTGGAGCAGGTTTAAACGGGGCGGGGCGGAAGCAGAAGAGGCTGCTACGGTGAGTGGTTGAATAATACTGGTGTGATGCGGTTGAGAATGGTGTGCTGTGATTCAGCGGAGCATTTGAGGCGATTCTGGCACCAGCAGCAGCGGGGAACGGGTTTCTGGAGGAGAGAGCACCGTGGAGCAGGTTTAAACGGGGCGGGGCGGAAGCAGAAGAGGCTGCTACGGTGAGTGGTTGAATAATACTGGTGTGATGCGGTTGAGAATGGTGTGCTGTGATTCAGCGGAGCATTTGAGGCGATTCTGGCACCAGCAGCAGCGGGGAACGGGTTTCTGGAGGAGAATGCTCCGTGGAGCAAGTTCAAAATAGGAGGGGCGGATGCTGAAGAGGCTGCTGCGGTGAGTGGTAGAATGGGATGAGTGAGATGCTCCGTGGAGCAAGTTCAAAAAAGGAGGGGCGGATGCTGAAGAGGCTGCTGTAGTAAGTGGTTGATTGAGAGTGCTGTGATGTGGTGAAGTTGGGTGTAGGGCGATTCTGGCACTGGCAGCAGCGGGGAACGGGTTTTTGGAGGAGAGAGCACCTTGGAGCAAGTTCAAGCGGGGCGGAACGGAAGCGAGTGGGTGAACGAGACAGGTGTGATGCGGTGCAGTGTGCTATAAGGCGATTCTGGCGCCAGGAGCGGCGTGGAACGGGTTTCTGGAGGAGAGAGCGTGGTGGAGCAAGTTCAAGCGGGGAGGGGCGGAAGCAGAGGAGGCTGCTGCGATGAGTGGCTTAATGAGAGTGGTGTGGTGTGGTGAGGTATGGTGTGAAAGTCTTTGATGGCTCCAGAGGGGGGAGGTCTGTCAAGTAAGTTCAATGCAGAAGGGCGGAAACTGATGGGGCAGCTGTTGGCTAGAATGGACGGCTTGGATTCACTTTTGAGAAATCTGAAGACTGATACCAAGATGGTTAAGGAAGCATGGCATGCTTTTGGGGAGCGTTGTTGTGTACTACGCAAGGTTGTTGCCTTCGCACCGTTTTCCATCACCTTCATCCCACTCCTCCAAGCACACTCTTGAAGTCAAATTGCTATCCCCAAGCCCCTGCTCTTTGTCCCACACCACCTCCCCATCCCTTTCCCCCCCTCCTTTCCTCCTCCTTCTACCCCCATCAGGACCTAGTAGCAGTGTTGGAGACGGCTCGCTGTGTGGCTGTGGCTCTCTCCCCCATCACTCCCACGCTTGCCCGCAGCATCTACACGCAGCTGGGCTTCACTGCTGAGCAATTCTCTGCCATCCAATGGGTGGGTTTCAAGCTTCACACTGTGCATCAAATGTGGTCAACCCTTCATTCTCCCCTATCAACTGGTCCCTCGCCCAAAGCCTTCCCACCCCATCAATTGGGCTTCACTGCAGGGAAGTTCTCTGTCATCTAATGGGCACGGTGTGAAGATAACTTCACACCGTGCATTGAAACGCTCCCTCATTCCATTGCTTGCCACACAGTGTCACAATGGTGCTGTCATGGTATCTTTTGAGTCGGCTCAAAAGTCACCTCAGTGTATCATGGTGGCTCTGTTTCTCTCATCCGTGTAGCAAAACCAGTGCTTTGTTACAAGGCACCTGCGCTGCTTTTTACTGACTCAAGTCCAGGACTCTTTCTTTCCTGGAACGCCACACTATCACACCCTCCAGCTTGCCACAAGTCAAGCTTGATCTCTCCTCCCCTTTTCCTCATATGTTCCTCCCCTCCACCCACCCTCCCCCCCATCCTCCTTACTTTCCCCCCTACTTTCCCCCCAATCCCCTTCCCTTGTTGCTTTGCAGGCTGACACGCATTGGGGTGGGCTGAATGCAGGGCAGCAAACAGCAGAGCCAGCGCCTGTATTCGCAAGGATAGAGCAGGAGGAGGAGGGGGTAGAGGCAGGGGCGCAGGCCAGTGGGAAGGGCGCCAAGGGGGGGAAGGGAAAGGGGAAGGGGAGTGCTGCAGGGGGGAAGAAGCAGCAGGGGAAGAAAGGGAAGGAGAAGAGCGCAATATTGAATGAGCCGGTGGTGGGCTCTAGTGCGAGCTGATGTGGTGGAATGTGCATTGGTCTCTATGGGTGGAGTAGTGAGGCTAGTACAAGTAAGACAGCAAGTAAGAGAACAAGACAGCAAGCAAGAACGCAAATGAGCCTATACATACGCAATGTGTCTGCTTCTTACAGAATGAGCTGGCAATAATCAATTTTCTTCTTGTGTCAATGCTTGGGTTGACTTGAACAAAAATCATCAGGTTAGAATTTGTTTTTTTGTTTTTTGTTTTTGTTTTTGTTTTTGTTTGTTTGTTTGTTTGTTTGTTTGTTTGTTTGTTTGCTTACGTGGGGTACAACACATTCTAGGGTTTGCTTCTTCTATCCCAACCTTTGCTAGTTTTCAGCATTCTTGGCTAGTAATCTCAACATGGTATCAGAGCAGTGGGTCCGTAGGACCGTTTCTCTTAGGGCCCACCCATTACCGCATTACCCCACAGCCTATCCTGTCCTGTACTGCCCACCCGTGCTGCCCCTGCAGCTACTCGCGCTGCCTCTGCTGCATAGCGCGCCGCCCATACTGCCCCGCGCACGACCCCTGCAGCCCGTGCGCTACTTCCCCTGCCCCTTAGCAGCCCCGCGCGTCGCCTCTGCGGGCCGCGCGCTGCTCCTCCTGCCCCGCGCGCAGCCCCGGCAGCCCCCCGCGCTGCACCTCCTGCCCCGCGCGCAGCCCTGCAGCCCCGCGCGCCGCATCTCCTACCCTGCGCACAGCCCCGACAGCCCCGCGCGCCGCTTCTCCTAGCCCGCACGCCGCATCCCCTGCCCCGCGCGCACCCGCAGCAGCCCTCGCGCTGCCTCTGGCCCACCCGCGCGCAGCTCCTCGCAGCCCGCGCCCTGCCCCAGCAGCCGTCGCGCTGCCTCTGCCCCACCCCGCGCGCAGCCCCAGCAGCCCGCGCCCTGACCCTGCAGCCGCCGCGCTGCCTCCCTGCCCTACCCCGCGCGCCGCCCTTGCCGCCCGCGCCCGCCACTGCAGCCGTCGCGCTGCCTCCCTGCCTTACCCTGCGCGCCACCCTTGCCGCCCGCGCCCGCCTCCTGCAGCCCTCGCGCTGCCTCTGCCTTCTGTCTGTGCGCCAGCCATTGCTCTGCTGAGCGCCGCCCCACCAGCCCTGAGCTGCTGTGGCCACCGTGCGAGTTCTCGCGTTCGATCCTAATGGCCGCCCGATCAAATTTGATACCTGGCTGCAGAACCTGCAGCTGTACCTGCTCAGCGACGTTAGAGATGGTATTTCGCTCTATGACGTAGCCACTGGTGCCTCTCCACTGCCCCACCAGCCTCAGCTGACGCTACGACTCGTTGCAGTGGCTCACCCGTGACGCTGTCGCTCGCCTAGCCATTCGCACTCACCTGCCAGTAGACGAATGCGAGCATTTTGACCAGGCGAAAACCGCTAAGGCCCTCTACGACGCTGTAGTTGCGCGCTATCCTTCTTCTGCCACTGCACCACTTAGCCGCCTCTTCCTACCCTACCTCTTCCCCGACCTGTCCTCCTTCGCCACTGTAGACGACCTCCTCTCCCACCTTCGCGCTAGCGACACTCGCTATCGTGCTGCCCTCCCTGCCGAGTTCCTGACCAAGAACGAGCCCCCGATCTACATCACTCTCCACTTTATAGTGACCCGCCTCCCTGACTCTCTTAGTGCAGTCCGCGACACCCTTCTCGCTCTCGACCCCACAGACCTCACTATCGACCTCCTAGGGAAGCACCTTCGCGCAGCGGAAGCTAACGTTGTCGTTGTAGGTGCTACCCGTGGCACCTCCCGCACGCCCTTCTTTGATGGGTGCTTCCCCTCCCCCCTTGCCCCCTCTTTTGCCTCTGCTGCTGCTGTCGACTTCCTTGGTGCTAAGGAGGTCGCAGCTGCTTCCGCTCCTAGTGGGAAGCGCCGCAGCGGCAAGGGAAAGGGAGGCAAGGGTGGGGGGGTGGGGGGGGCGGGGGGGGGGGGGGGGGGGGGGGGGGGGTGGGGGGTGGTGGGGGAGGTGGTTGGGGTGGCGGAGGTGGTGGCGATGGCGGCGGGAGTGGTGGAGCGAGTGGGGGCGTTGGCGGCGGAGGTGGCGGCGGCGGCGGAGGTGGTGGTAGCGGTGGTCGTGGTGGCGGTGGGAGCGGTGGGAGCAGTGGTGGTGGGAGTGGCAGCAGCGGGAGTGGTGGCAGCGGTGGCGGTGGTGATCGCTCCGGCACAGTTCAGCGGCAGCAGCAGCAGCGTCCGCGTGAGCACCTCTCGCCCCAGCAGCTTCGTGAGTGGCTTGCTCAGCGTGCGGTGTCTAGGGGTGGTGGTAGTGGTCGCTGTTCGTACACTATTCGCACAGGTCCCCGCGCTGGTCAGGCGTGCGGGAAGTTTCACACCCCGCACCACTGTTTCTCCCGCCTAGACGACGCTTGGCGTCAGGAGATGGGCGACGAGGTTGAGCTGCCCCGCTGTGCTGATCTGCTTAAGACTGGTGTTGATATCTTTGCTCTAGACTTTGATGCTATTATTGCTGGCATGTATGCTCTGTCTACTAGTGTTGAGGGTGACTGTTACTTGTGTGCGCCGTATGACCCTGGTATAGAGGCTGCTGCTCTAGGTGCTAGTGAGTCTGCTCTCTCTGGTACTGCGCCTGCTGAGGCCTCGCACACCTTCACGCTTGACTCAGGTGCTTCTCGCTGCTTCTTTCGCGACAGTACCACAGTCACACCACTCACCAGGCCTGTGGTCGTTTCTCTGGCTGACCCCTCTGGGGGCCCAGTTCTTGCACGCTCCTCTACTGTGCTCCCGTGTCCGGCCGTACCGTCCGGTTCACTGTCTGGTCTCCACCTCCCCTCGTTCTCGACGAACTTGGTGAGCACCGCTGTCCTTCAGGATGCAGGGGTTGATACCTTAACACCTGGACACCAGCGTGTGGCCACGTTCACTCGTCGGCCGGGGTCCAGTCTGTACACGCTGACTACTACGCCGCCTCAGGTCGCTGACTCTGCTCACGTGTCCCCGTCCTGTCAGGTAGCAGCCCCCTGTGAGTGTCGCCGCCTGTCGCACCAGACTCTCCTTTGGCACCACCGCCTTGGTCACCCCTCCCTGCCACGCCTTCGTGGCATGCACTCCCGTCTTCTGGTCTCTGATCATCCAAGGTCTCTGCCTTCCCTCCCACCCTCTCCTGCCCTGCCCTGCATTCCCTGTGTCGAGGGGCGGCAGCACGCCGCTCCTCACTCCTCCTCGTTTCCCCCGACGACAGCTCCTCTGCAGACTCTCCACATGGACGTGTGGGGCCCAGCCCACGTCCAGGGACAGGGCCGCGAGCGATACTTTCTGCTGGTTGTTGACGACTACTCGCGTTACACCACGGTCTTCCCTTGGATCCGAGCTGTCCGTCTCCAGCTGCGCGAGCGGTTCCGCACGGACCTTCCTGTCCTGCGTCTGCACTCTGACAGGGGTGGTAAGTTCTCCTCTGGCCTCTTGCAGTCCTTTTGTGAGGAGGAGGGCATTCGCCAGTCGTTCACGCTTCCGGCCTCCCCGCAGCAAAATGGGATTGCTGAGCACCGCATTGGCTTAGTTATGGAGGTCGCTCGTACCTCCATGATCCATGCAGCTGCTCCCCATTTTCAGAGGCCGTTTGCAGTCCGATACGCTGCGCATTAGCTTAACCGCTGGCCGGAGACCTTGCCTACACTTCGTTGAGGACGGGGGAGGTTGGCGATGCGTCACGGTTCCGGGTCTGGGGTTCCAATGCCTTTGTCCGCGATTCCGCCGCGGGCAAGCTCTCCTCTCGCACCATTCCCTGCGTCTTCCTTGGCTTTGTCCCAGACGCGCCTGGCTGGTAGTTTTACCACCCCACCTCGCGCCGGGTTCTGCCCTCTCAGGACGTCACGTTTGACGAGTCAGTTCCCTTTTACCGCCTCTTCCCTCACCGCACTGCCTCTCTCCCCCCCCTCCCCCGCCGCTCTTCCTCGCTCCAGGTCCCCCTCCGGTAGACCCCCTCCCCCCTCAGGTTCTTGCTCCTTCAGGTGTGTCCCAGGTAGACCCTCTTCCCCTGGCTGAGCCTGTCGAGGTCACTGGTGACTCAGGTGCTGCTGAGGGTGGTGTTGCTCAGGGTACTGCGACTGGGGGTGCTGAGCCTGGGGGTGCTGGGTCTGGGGGTGCTGAGCCTGGGGGTGCTGCATCTGGGGGTGCTGAGCCGGAGCGTGCGGAGCCTAGGGTTGCTGAGCCTGGGGGTGCTGCGTTGGGGGGTGCTGAGCATGGTGGAGCTGAGTCTACTGGTGGTCTTCCGGGTGCCTCACCTTCACGGTCTCCTCAGCGGGAGCCACTCTCCCTACAGCAGCTGCGCGAGTGGCTAGCTCAGCGCACCCGCCTTCGGCGTAGCGCTGCTGGAGCTGGAGGCGCTGGAGCTGGAGGCGCTAGAGCTGGAGGCACTGGAGCTGGAGGCACTGGCGCTGGAGGCGCTGGAGCTGGAGACGCTGGAGCTGGAGGTGCTGGAGCTGGAGGTGCTGGAGCTGGAGGTATTGGCGCTGGAGGTACTGGAGCTAGAGGCGTTGGCGCTGGACGTACTGGAGCTGGAGACACTAGCGTAGGAGGTGCTGGCGCTGGAGGTACTGGAGCTGGAGGCACTGGAGCTGGAGGCACTGGCGCTGGAGGCGCTGGAGCTGGAGGTGCTGGAGCTGGAGGTGCTGGAGCTGGAGGTACTGTGCAGCAGCGACCGTTCTTCTTGCCGCTGCCGCAGCTGTCTGAGCTCCCGCCTGACTTGGTGCTTCGTCAGGTTTTAGTCTTCCTTCGTCCACTCTCCTTCCTCCGGGCTCACCACAGCCTGCCCCATCTCCTTACACTGAGCAGCCGGTCTCCCTTACAGAGCGTCGTGAGCCTGCGTCTCGTCCTGCCTCTCACGTTCGCGCTGCTTGCAGTACTCCTCGCGTCCCGCGTCCGCGTCCTCCTCCTGTGCCAGGTACTCACACCATGGCACTTCGTCCTTCCTCTGTTCCGCAGCGTGTTCCCTTGCCATCTCCTCCTGCGTCCTCTCTTCCTGTTGTTCCGGAACCTGAGTCTGACGCTGTTCGTGCTGCTCACCCTACTGTCAC